AAAAAAAAAAAAAAAAGTGCCCAGAAGCCTTTCTGCTCCCCATCCTGACCCCGGCCTTCTCTGACATTGATGTTCTTCTCCCTGCTTCTCTGTCTCCCACAGCCACATGTCGAGCAGGCTGCAGCCCAGAGCATGGCTTCTGTGAGCAGCCTGATGAATGCCGATGCCTGGAAGGCTGGACTGGGCCCCTCTGCACGGTCCCTGTCTTGGCCAGCAGCTGTCTCAGTGCCAGGGGCCCATCTTCTGCCACCGCTGGATGCCTTATACCTGGGCCTGGGGCCTGTGATGGGAACCCCTGTGCCAACGGGGGCAGCTGTAGTGTCAGTATCATCCCTTCCCACCTCATCCTGATTACTTTACTTGGGACTTCCCACCACCCCCTCTTTGGGGCTCCATGAGACATCAGTCTGGGGAGGAGGCCTGGGAGTAGCTGTCAGGGAGGTCTTCCTGGTGGTGCTTAGCCTGTATCTGAGGCCTTGAAGTAGGTTTAGGTGACGGGGATGGGATTGGGGAGAGCAGACTCAGCAGGTGGTGCTAAAAGGTCTAGAATGATAAGGAGTTGTGTTGGGCCACAACTGCCCACTACCAGTGGGATAGAGAACAACTCAGGACCCAAGATAGGGAGTGGTGGGGGATTTGGGATGGGGGTTGGCAGGGTTGGTGGGGCGAGACATCAGAGGTTTCCTGGAGCTGGCCCAGGGCTGGGGCTTCTGAAGGATGATTTGGCTGTGAGAAGTGAATAGAGAAGGGTAGTCAGGTGAGTAGCTTGGGGAGATCAAAGGTGTGGAGGTGGAATGAGCCTGGTATGTAGTTTTGGTATAAAGTAGAGGTATAAAGTGCCCACCTGGGCACTGCCATCATGCAGGAGTTAGAAACTCAGGGTCCAAGTTAGGGGGAGGGCCTGGAAAGGGGTGATTCTGAGAATGTTTCATGGAGAAGGTAGGCTGAGTTTTAGGACCTCAAAGGATTTGTCTATGTGGGTGGAATCTGGGAGTGCAAAGTGGCAGGCAGCATTGGTGGGCAAAAGCGTGTCAGTGGGAATGGAATCTCTCCAGACCTCGAGCCTCCTCCCTGTGGGGGTACATGGACAGACACGGAAATGTGGAGTGCAGTGCGGGGTGGTCTGGGGAGGACTTCCCGGGTGAAGCCCCTGCATACTGGGACTTGGGACTGGACAAGAAGCAGACTCCCCCAGCGCCTGGTGGTTAAGACTGAGGTAGGGATGGGATCTTGCTTCAAGGAAACTCCCTTCCAAAGCCCTCTTGACTTTGCTTAGGAGATACTCGGGTCCTTTGAATGCACCTGTCCCCGTGGGTTCTACGGCTTACGATGTGAGGTGAGCGGGGTGACATGTGCGGATGGACCCTGCTTCAATGGTGGCTTGTGTGTTGGGGGCGCAGACCCTGACTCTGCCTACGTCTGCCACTGCCCACCTGGTTTCCAAGGCTCCAACTGTGAGAAGAGGGTGGACCGGTGCAGCCTGCAGCCATGCCGAAATGGTGAGGCCAGGAGGCTAGAACAGCTAGGGATGGGGACAAGGGGCCCTGCGTGGTTCAGACAGTCCTGGGTGACTTTGCCTATTCTAGTCCTAGGGCCTGGGGATGTGATGTTTCCCCCACCCCACTTCATGTTCACTCTGTGCTGCTGTAAAAGGGTGAGGGGATATTCCCTATCTCATAAATGTTTACTGAGAATTTACCATGTGCCAGGCCCTGTTCCAGGCACTGGGGATACAGCAAGGAATGCAACACAAAATCCCTGCCCTGGTAGAGGTGCTGTGGTAGGAATGTGCCTGGCATGTTCAAGGTCAGCTTGCATAGTTGGAG